CCCCCCCCCCCCCCGCCATTGTTGTGTACATGTGATGTAGGGGATAGATAACAAATTAACATGTAGTAGTAACCTGCACAGATGTATCAAAGAACTCAATATACATCAAACACTCTGCTATCTTGAAGGTGGAAAATACAAATTGCAGAAACTTGAGGGATGTATTCTGTAATTTACTCTGCATTGTGCTTAGCTTTATTTATTTGTATGAGCCCCTCCTGTATTGGGTTGACCACATTTTGATTAGGGGATGGTACATATCCTTGAGTTTCTCACTTGAGAAGCCTATGGCTAAGTTGACCATGACTATTTGTGGGTGTTTTATTCCATGGATAAGCATACAAGGACTAACGTTAGTTATTTGTATAATTTCATCCTAGGTTTCTTCATCCTTGCCAATTAGGATGCTCTAAGAAGTAAGAACACTTATGACCCATTTTACCGAAGTAATTTTTTTTATATTTATACAATTATACATCGGTAAGGATCTTTTGAGAATGGTGCATAATGTCATGCTATAACATTGGGCATCTATAATGTTTTGTTCGTAAAATTATAGGTTCTTATTCCTTCTAATCCCCCAAAGCCCCAGCCCCTATGCCCCTACCTTTTGATCGTTGATCGGCAGCATTAATTTTGAAGGATTAAAGGTGGTAAAAATCATTAATTTCACGAAAGAGACATTGCAAGTGGCTGATGTCATAATATGACATTAGGGTCTGATGTTAAAAGAGTATATTATTCAATAATCGATACTATCGCTCTAAGTTTTCTTTTAAGAAATTACCAAAATATGAAAAAAAAAAAAAGGGTCTTATTTCCAAAATAGGATTGCCATGCTTTTTTACCTCAAAATATGATTATTGTACTAGGGCAAGGGTCTCATGACATTGGAAACCAATGTCATGGGATGACCCGGGGGCGCTCCGGTGCCCCGTTCGTAAAATTGACGGTTCCTACCCCCCAATCATGGGAACCAAGATGATTGTACTATGATAATGTAACATTGTATTTTGGCAACCCATATCATTTTTTGATACTCCGTATTATATATTAATATTATTAACATACTCCCTCCGTCCCAGAGTATTCGTCCAGTTTTGACTTTTGGAACTGTGCATCTAATCACTTTGACTCATCAAATTCTCTCAATGTGTAAGCCTAAATATACTCATGTGTGATCTTGTTTGATTTGTCTTAACATATAGATTATTAATATATAATTTCTATAATTTTTTAATGTACAAATTACAAGATAAAATGGATTAAAGAAGTGTATTGGATGATGTGTAAAAATGAAAGTGGACAAATACTCTGGGACGGAGGTAGTATGATGGATGCCTAATATTTCCTCCTAGAACTGTTGATCGGTCCAGGTCCAAATATTAGTATCCGGACCTTATAACAGTAAGAAAGTAAAAAGGAAAGAAAAATGGATCGTGAATAAATGCACAACACACAATGAATTAACTCAAACCAGGCCCTTTCTGTATTCGGTCCACCTATGGATCAAAATACTCTATAGGACCGCTGGAATATTCTTTTATTACTCAAGTCTCTCGCTCTCTCTGTTACAAGTTATATCTGCTGTCTAAATTCTTTCTCCTTTTATAGGAGCTTTCTCAGCCACCATCTTATCAATATATCCGCGGTGGTTGGGAAATTATCTTGGAAATCCTTCTCTTTCCCAGAAATATCTTTATCAGCTTAAGGCCATTCACTTGGGGACAAATCTGTCCGTACGACCGATATTCTCTGTCCATTCTCTCCAAGAAATAATCGTCCGTCCCTCTCAAGGACGGCGTACCCTAATTTCTTGCAAGGGTCCTCTTCCTTTGGGCGACCCGATCTTAATGGGCTGAGATCCAGCCCATCTCTTAGGCCCCAGTCTTCCTTCTTCTCCTGGCTTGCCTCTTTAGTTGGACAGACCGGCCCACTATATTATCTCTGGGTTGGATCCTCCTTTTAAGGTATGGATTCTAACTGGGGCTTTCTACATATCTTAGGCCCAAATCACTTATAATATCTCGATGGGCTAGATTCCCATCAACATTATAAGTCTTATTAACAAAAATGTTTTACTTCTATTTTAATTTCTCTTTTATTTTCATATAATGGAAAAGTTATGCTTGATTTATTTTAATTAAGTGACTAAGCACGGCATCTTTTATGCTACGTCATTGGCATGATTGGCCAGATGTCTGTCAATTGTGAGCGAAGAATCAGTCGTCAATAATCCACGATCAATGGGATTGACGCTCCATTTCTATTTCTGCTTCGGATTGCGACTTAGACCTACAACGGTGCTCCCTCCGGCCCAATCAACACTCTGTCCTAAAATGTTTGCCACATTACGCAAAAGAAAATGAAAAATTTGAATTTTTTTATTTATTTTATTTAAAGATTGATATATAAATAAAAAATAAAATTTATATATTTAAAAACCACGTTAAAAATTGTTTAAAGCAAAATGAACAAGAATATTTTATTTTATCAAATTAATAATAAAAAATTTCTATGTTTTTAAATAATAAACCGTGTTATTCTTTTTTGATGAATGAAGTAAGTATTTTTGATGTCCCACCAAGTGCGGTAAAAAGTGTGAAAAGGGTAAAAAAGTTGGAAGAACTCAGGCAGCATTGGTGGAAAGTCCCCAATGCGGCGGAGTTCGACGCCGAGGGATGATGGGGAGCAACAACCTAAACGCTGTGTTCTACGCCAAGGAGTACCACCCGATTCAGTCCGGCAGCATCGACGGCACCGATATTCTTCCCCACGACAGCGCTGTTTACCGGGCACTTCTCTGCTCCAATGCCGCCCTCTGTAATCTCTCTCTATCTCTCTCCCCCCACCCCACTATTTCCCCCCTTCTTCTATAAAATTTTCTCAATTTCTGC